TCGGTTAAGGAAACAGAAACGCAAGGACAAGTCACAGCTTTGCTCAGACCAATTGGATACCTTCATGTCGGAGCAGAAAGATTTTATCCATACTGTCTTTCTCTATTTGTGCTTCGTGATTTGTGCTGGAAGCTGTTCGCAGTACGCTTCGAGCTGGACTGGGGAACATCTGATAGAGCCGACGCATTGATTAAGGCCCACAGGTACTTCCACAAGAACGCGACCTGCTGTGACCGCAAACTATATCATGGAATCGCGGTTGTCGATGGAACACTCAACCATGAACCAGTCATCGCCGAAACGGAAGCTCGGAGTGAACAAACATCTTTGTATTCCAAGGAAGCAAAGGAGGAAGCAATACCGAATGCAACTGTGAGCTCCACACATGTTGAATCGATCAACTGGGTTGAATGGAGGCAACAAGCACTTGTACCCCCAAACCATTATGCCACAACTCTTTGTTACTTTCATGTCATGCAGCATTTCGCGAAGAATGATGGGTTTGTTAAGAAGTTTCGAAACAAGGATTTCGCGAGGACGAGCAACAAGAATGTCAAGTCTGAAGCTTACCATCAGGTCCAACTCATTCACCAGTGTAAAACAACGGAACAGAGAGCCAAGGTTACGGAACTCGTATTGCGTCATTGGTCGGAAGAGCGCCAAGAACACCAGGCAGCGGAACACTTTCTCCGAATGTATGCCACTGGCCCATACTTCAACCACAATTATGCTTGTACTGGACACTGCGGTGTTCCTTGCAGCAACTGTAGCAACGAAAGTCACAACCATCATGCCATCAAGGCCAAAGATTCTCCTGTTGAATTGAATGTTTCACTGGCTCGTTTGTTGGTTGACACTTTGGTAAGCCTGTTGAGGAGGGATGCAATGGGTAGAGCCGATCCCTGTACAATCGTGATACCCAGAACATGTTCGTTGCTGTGTCTGGTGACCACAACTTTCCTTGAAATGAATCGAGATATTATCCCCATTGCATGGGACGGTTTCGGTGTTCCCAAGGCTTGGGTATCCAATGTCGGTTTTCGGATTGGACATGCACTTACAAAGGAAAGAGTTGGTCTCATCCAGTCATCACTGAAAGGTGATGAAGAGCCGTTCGACGATTTGTATTCGGAGAAGGGACAAGAAAGAGACATCACCGCGAGGAGGATGGTGTCTGTAACTCGAAATTGTTGTATTCTAACCATGCGAAGTGAGGATAATGCCATCGTGGGTGACTGTGAGGATTGTCGCAAACGCAATGGCTACAACTGTCCAGCAGCATCCTTCCTTCGAAGTAGGTATGGCCAGTTCGATGTTGAGCTGGACGACATGAGGAAGGTACCATGCAACACACGTAGGAGGGGATACAAAGCCCAAGGAAGAGGTCGGAGGGATGGCATGTACACCGGCGGTCTCTTGCAGAATGGTAGGGTGGCACGAAAGACCCCAAAGATGCTTGAAACCAAGGCGTCTTTCCTCGAGAGTCTTTCCACGGAGCACAAAGTTCAAGCGGTGAACTACCTTGGACTGGAAGTATCGGACGAATCAAGATCCCTTCTGAAAAGTGAAGCATCGACTAGCAAGAATATTGAAGACTCGGTCTGTCTTAGGGAACTGCTCCTATTTATGAAGGACGGTCCTGTATACAGAGAAGTTCAGAAGAGACGCATGGCGCAGACAAAGAAGTGAGAAGCAATGCTATCGAAACAGTGGATCGTCGTATCTTCTTTCGCGCCGAGGAATTGAATGGCAACAGTGGATCGTCGTATCTTCTTTCGCGGCAAGGGCATACGAATTGGTGCGTACCTTTATCAATGGCATTGCACGAGCGACAGAACAAGAACACAAAGCATAGTTCATATTCAGCATTAAAATATATATTTGCACTGTCAATGATAGTATTTAGTACGTCGTACTGCCGACCGGGCTCATGTAGGATTGGTGCTGTGCATTCTCAATGGCTTAACAAGGTCAAAACGAAGAGCATTCGATCCTTCTTTGTTCCTGTGGGGTTGATTAAGCAACAGCGGACGGGGAGTAAGCAATACATAGTGGTTGTGGGTGACCAAACTGACCATACATACCTGCCTGCGACAATTGAATGCGTTGCGAAGCAACCATCGCATAGTTCATAAAACGTCTTGAGTCAACATTTGCATTGAACTTCCTCCTCTTTTCTTGAGCTTCTTCTTCATTGTGCCCTCACCATGGCGGAACGTCGAGAGCACCGTGGTACACCTTCTCCACCTCGCAAGCGGGATCCTATTCCCAATCCGTATGCCCTGAAATCGTCAACCAAGAAGACGTCAACCACGTCAACCAAGAAGGGGATCACGGCTCGCATGACAACTGCTGGAAAGTTTCCTAACTTTGTTATCAATCGAGGCTCTGGTGACACCACACCAAGCATCCAGTCCACCGAGGCCCCAAGTGTATTGGCTTCTGTCTCTCGTCCTCGTGCACCGGTTACTCGAATGGGATCTCTCAATTTCACCACTGTGACACGTGATCCCAGTACGCCTGGTCATCGTTCCCTTCCATCATTGTCCAGTCGAACTCATTCCATCGTTGGTCCGTTGACCCAGCCCCTTGTTGCTGCAGCTGAACTCCACGATGATCCAGTGGATGAATTCCCCGTGGATCCTGTTTTGGATGCAGCCATCACTGATTTGATTCGCAAACAGGAGAAGACTCATAATGGTCTCTATTGGCTTCGTGCTGCGCATCTCCTACCTGGCACCCTACAACGCATTGACTTGCCCGAACGTGTGCTTGGTGGCTGGTCAGAGTTTGATGATGTCTGTCGTGACAGTCTTGACATGACAATTGCCTGGATTTACGACAAGAAAAAGGAGCTGGAGCAATACCCCTTCTATCATGGTCAAGAGGGCGACTATCCCTTGCCTCCTGTTGGTGGAAAGTTGGATCTTTGTGGAGTCCCTGCGGAGTATTCCACCATCTTCAAGGAGAAACTTCGAATCTTTCTCGCGGAAATTACCTCGCAGCCTCGCCATTGGCGTGTTATCTGCAAGGCTATGAAGTGGTCCCGGTTTGAGTTCCACCGTCGCAAGCTTTGGTTTGATGCAACATACCCCTGGGAGGGACTGACATGCCTTCCTTTGGTTCGGCTTACAGACGCCGACATTGAGTCTCGTCGCGACGAAAGTCATCGGCTTGGATACCTTTGCCGAACGCCCGACAATTACTTGAACCATACCATGCATCGCTCCGGTATGATTCCTCAGTGGCTCAATGATCCCCCATCTGATGATGATTCGGCGTACGATGACTCTGCCGACTGTGACCTGTTCAAGGAAGATGACAATGATAGTGCCAACGAAGAAGAAGAAGTCGAGGATGAAGACGATGGCGATGAGGATGACGATGTGGATGACGATGTGGATGACGATGATGACATGGAAGAAGAGGAGCGAAAGCCTGCTGCAAAGCCATCTGTTTCGACACCACGCAGTACGGACAATCACTCGCAAATGACTCCTGGTAGTAAGAAGCGTGGGACTCCCACCAACTCTGTTGGATCCGCGAAGCGACACCAACTTCCTCCGTTGTCTGCTCAGTCCAGGGGCAGTAGTGGTCGTGGAACTGGTCAAGATCCTGTGATGATTGATGGAGAGCTTCCTGTTGCTAAGCTGCCACCCGCGGAAGTTCGCAAGAAGAGTGCTCATCTCTTCAGTAGTCCCCATTGTGGAACTGACTCTTCTGTTTCCTTCAGTTCCAGCTCTGGTACTCCCATTGACATTAATTCTGCTCTGACACCCGCTGGTTCTTCAAGTGGCTCTTGTTCTAGTGGAACATTGAAGGCCAATGTTCGCCGTTCCCTTCTTCACGAACGCCTAACTCAGCACTCCAGTGATGAAGAGGACGACGACAACGAGTAACTGATTGACTGACGATGACAACGAGTAACTGCTGTTCCGGAGTTTGTGCGAGGATGTGGTTGGGTCGATCCAGTCAGTCAGTCAGTCAGCGATCCAGTCAGTCAGCGATTGGTTGTTTCGTCAGCGATCCCTTGAAAGTTTCAGTTCCGTATCCGGCGATCTTCTGTGCGTCTATGTTATTCGCGAGTATGGTTTAACAAGTTCGGTATTTACTTGGAAGATCAGTGGTGGGAGTGTCACAGAGTGGTATATATAACCGGTCCTGAATATCTATATAATAATCAGCTATATGTGACTAGCCATATCTCCCTTATGCTCAGATTCTCCCTGACGGTTCATTCTCCCTGTGGGATCGTTCCTAGTATGTAGCCACGGGGGATGGGCAAATCTTGCAATAGCCCTGTATTGTAATGGATGTGACTCGCTAAAATCAGTTAAAAAGACGAAATTCGTATTTTTGCCGGAAGATAAATTTAATTGGATTAGATTGGATTGCATTGCATTGCATTGAATTGGATTGAATTGGATTCCAATTAGTACTGTTATTTATATAGTAAACTGTAATTCAAAATCCAATCAAACCCAATAGAGAAAAACAGCCAAAGTAAAAGATTGGCTTAGCGCACACAATTTTTACAAAAACGCTCTAACAAATTCAACACAGAGCCATGGGCAAGTTTGCTCATCCCCACATTCCAACAGAATCGAATCTTATGTTTTTCTTGTAATAGAAGACACAATATCCTTCTAGCTAGATGGCTCTCCAACACATCCCATTGATCATCTTTTCTATGGCCTTGTTCCTCCAAACCAAGGCTCCCAGGTATGACATTCGCATTGAGCACATTGACAATCGAACCAACCGCCTTGGCTGAGTCTGTCCCTGTCCCTGCACTGGCTGGAACCTTCCATTCCTTGTTTGATGGTGCGCTTCTTACTCTGCAACCCAATATTCCCTCACAACTAACTACCTAGTGCCGTTGTACTCTAGCTAGAGTACATCCACAACCTGGAGCGCAGCGACCTTATTTTTGATTGCAATATTATTGCTATTTTGCGAGAGAAACCAAAACCACACCAAGCCATCACCAAATCCACATCACACGACAAAAAAGAAAACTGCACCAGACGCTGTCCTGTTGCTCTGTTGGCTACGATTTCGTTTCGACCTCGATTCGATTCAATTCGATTCAATTCAATCAGCTTGAAATACAGGAGAACTACAAACAGAGCGACTGGTAGCAGAAACTGAGAGGTAGGACGAGCGGCCAATGCCAAAATGCCGTCCGTGTCATTGCTTCACGCCGACAGCGTCTTTTTCTCCAATTTCCACCTTTTTCTCCTTTGTGTCTTTGTACAACAGGATTCGATTCGATTCGATTGAATTCATCATTCTACTCAACATGTCGGACTTTTTGTGGAAGTTGATTGGGATGAACATTGGCATTGGTGTGTGGCTTTGGTGTTTGTTCTCTTGGTTTTCCAAAAGCCAAATTTGGGAACCAACCGGAGAGGTCCAAGTGTCTTCACCAGAGGAATTTGAGCCAAGCGACGAGACGCAAGAGACTCAAACCGAGACCTTTGAGCCAATCAACGAGACTGCTAAAGAGATTCCACCACCAAAGATTCTCCCGATTGACGATTTGATTTGTCCCATTTGCTTGGAGCTTCCATGGGATCCTGTCATTGCGGAGGATGGATGTATTTATGATCGACCGTTCATTGAGACACATATGGAGAGCCAAGACGACCAAAATCTCAAATCGCCAGTCACCAATCTGCCAATGGGCCGCCGCCTCATTCCTGTGATCCGTATTCGCAATCACATTGAGATTTTGGTGGAGTCGGGCGTCATTAGTGGAAATCACGCTGCAAAGTGGAACGCGAAGGTTCAAGAGAAGAAAGTCATGGAAAAGTTTCTGGCGAAGGCAGAGGGCGGAGATGCAATGTTTGATGTAGGGCAGAACTATGAATTCGGTTTCCGCGGTTTCAAGCAAGATCACACATTGGCCTTTCAGTGGTACGAGAGAGCGCACAAGGCTGGAAATGCTGCTGGCACTGCAAGTTTGGGGGGTTGCTATCTTGATGGGAAAGGTGTGGCCCGGCAACAGTCACTTGGATTGGAGCTCATGTCCACTGCAGCTGACCAAGGTTCCCCCACTGCCGCTTTCATTTTGGCAATGTATGGTATTGACAACGGACGGTACCGGTTCCGTAGACTTCAGCGTGGACAAAGCACTGGCAATCCATTAGCTTGAGAAGGCGGTTAGCTCCTGCCCTCGTCGTGGTATTGGTTTGGCAGATTCCGCTCTCACCGAAGCCCGAGAGAAACTGAGTGAGCTTCGGGCAAGCCAAAACAATTGAGGTTTCCGCTTGCTTTCTGGGGAGCTGTCTCACTTTTCCCCACAATCCACTCGGCATTCAATCCAAATAGAATTCGCCTACAGCTAGAACCGAATTATTGTGCTTTCTCTACCATCTATCTAATGCTGTTCGTGGGTAGTATAGTTCTGGTTGTATCCAATCACATAGACGCCCAGCCAAAATACCTCCCACATGTACAATACATGTAGTGTGATATAGTGAGGGATTCAGAGATCCTCAACAACCTGGAAGGTCAGCATGCTTCCAACCCTGACAGCAGTGGTGCTGCCTCAACTGATGGAGTTTGAATTATGAAGCAACAACAGTTGAGAATAGGAATAGGATAGAGTAACTTTAAGCTCACAATGTAGCACTCAAACCCTCACGCTTCCTCTGCGCATTATGCTACATGCTTCGAGCAGCTCGTTTGTCATACTCACATCGTTTTAGTATTGACAAAGAGCACCTCGTTAGCTCAGGTCTGTCGACCACCAAGCTCTCAAATCTATAGATCAAAGAGAGCTCACAACTTCTTTCAACGACTTGAAAGAAACCAACAAAGATTTCAACCTCCAGCTCTGAAGATCAAGGGCAGCTTCCTGGTACCAGGGAAACAAGAGCAGCAAGAAGAGCGGAACAAGCAGAAGAAATCAGCAGGCAGTTGCAAAGGACAAGAGACCGTTTGCAAAGAAGAAAAGAAAGACAACAAGCAAGGATACCAACCATGGATGCAGCTCAAATCCAAGCAATCGTGGAGGCTGCAGTCGCAGCAGCACTGCAGAACCAGAACGTTCTGAATGCGATCCGACCGCAACAAGCCAACCCAACAGCAGTCGCATTTGCAGTCACACCAGCTGGAACAGGTGACGACGCATGGGACTTTACCTCGCCTACTGGACTCAGAATCTTCATGGCTTCAATCACCCCTTTCACGATCAAGTACGACGGAAAGGAGCAGTACCTCCGTGATTTTCTGCGTCAGATCTGGCAGAGAGCTGAATCGTTCGGATGGGTGTCTATCCTGCTAGTCGCGGATGCCAACGGCACGGTCAGGAACATCACCAACCAACACGGATGTTTGACAAAGAGCAACGTCAGAAACCACGCAGTCACGTACCTTAGACAGCAAGGAAGAAAGCATCAAGCATCAGTTTGCCTTCGCAAACTCATCATGGGATCAATCACTTCGCGAATGGCCGATAGACTGATCACCAGAAGAATCGACTATACAGTCAATGCGGCACCAGCGGCAGCACAACCGGATGCCGCACCTCCTGCCCCAATCATGAAGGAAGATGGCACTTGTATGCTCTTCCAGTTGATCAGGATGGTTTCGGTAGAGACCATGACCACAATCGCTATCATCACCAAGAAGCTCAACAACTTGGAGCACATCATGGAGACAGCCAAGTCCAACGTCGTGCTCTTCAACACCATGGTCGAGGACTTGATCACCCAGTTGCAAGCCAGGAGTGCTCAGGTCCCTCCAATGATAGCCAACCTGTTCGATGGATATGCTAACTGCACCGACTCAGCATTTGTCAAGTATATGGAGACCAAGAGAGACTCATACGAAGATGGAACACTCCTGTTGGACAACCATGACAGCATCATGATCATCGCTCTTGAGAAGTACAAGATCATGGTTGACAGGAAGATTTGGCTCAGGAAGTCCGAGGAACAAATGGAGATCATGACTCTCAAAGCCGAGGTCACGAAGCTCCGTGGAAAGCCAAACTCCAAGCCAACGTCATCCACGAAGCCACCAAGTGAAGGCAAGAAGGGAAAGGACGACGACAAGTTTGCCTGGAAGCTGGTATCACCAAAGGAAGGAGATCCTCAGCAGAAGACTGTCAACGGAAAGAAGTACATCTACTGCCCATACCACCAGACAACCAAGTGGGTCCTGGAGGTGAACAACAAAGGAGTGGTGCATCGCACTGGATGTGAGAAGATGAAGGAGGCGCTCACCTCGAACAAGGCAACCGAGGGAACCGATGACAAGACATCCGAAGCAGCAGCACTTACCAACGCCATTGAGGACGCAGGAACCAACACCCTGCTCCCCATCATCGAGGACGAAGAGCTTTGATGGTGTCGGAGTGGAGGATTCCTGTTCAGTCAATTAGTAGCCTATTGTAATCACTATAGTGACCAACTTTCTGTTACCATTGCTTTTCAGCCTCTACTCCTGGCCATCAGATTAGCTTGCCTCCTAGCCACGATGTCTCAGTGGAAGGATCGATTCGCACAAGCGTGGATCAGGGCAGAAAAGGTCCTCGATGACTCAGCCGAGGAATGCCATCTGGCTCAGATGATGTCAGTACTGGCACTGTCGAATGTCTTCGAGGTCGTCAGCTGGTTTGCGGAATTCTGCCAGCAGCCAATGTCCTTTCTAGTTCTCCTGCTGTTGTTCGGAGAATCAATTCACCTATTGGTGAGTGTCGTTGCTTTGGTGACGGCAACAATCATTGACTTAGCGTGCTGCTATGTCGTGGCTGGCACCGAGTTCGGAGCAGCCGCATTCACGTATGGTGTGACAATGAGCTCTCTGCTCTCGTGGGGACTGAAGCCACCGGAACTGCCCCAGTACGTACCAAAGCGACTGAGGAGAAAGCAACCGTTCCTGTTGAGAACCGCCAAGGCGTCAATGGACGCGATGCTATGCTTATCAGCGAGAGTAGCAGGAACTGTCCTGCTCATTATTCAACTGACTCACCTGTCGATCCATGAGTCAGCAGGGGCACCACCCGAGAAGCAAAGAAGCTCATCGACGGACGAGCCCTTCTTGGATCAAGACGAAGAATCAGAGGAACCATACGCCAGCATGTGCGAGAAGTACAAGAGGGCATGTCAGCCCACAATGTTATGGGACCTGAAGGTCGCTGACCAAGACCACAAGCCAACAGCCTTCGAGATGTTCATCCGGTTCCTGCTGGTCCTCAAGGGAGGACTCGACCTGATAGGAGAGGAAAGCAACCCGCTGGTTGCATGGCAACTGATCATGTACTCCTTGTCCGGAGACATGAATCGCAACTCAGAGGATCACCAGTATGACGCTGACTCAGTCCTGATAGCCATCGACAATTGCTCCTCGAGATGCATCACAAATTCGATGAAGGACTTCATCGAAGACCCAGTGCGAGTCAATGTGAAGGTGCAAGGGATTGGAGGATCAGTCACGGCGACATACAGAGGGACAGTGCGCTGGTCCATCGAGGATGACAATGGCAGAGTCCATCACTTCGTGATTCCTCACACCTACTACAATCCTTCGACGCCATACAGGCTCTTGTCACCACAGCATTGGGCGAGAGTAGCGAGTGACAATTCACCAAACAAAAGGGGCACCTGGTGTGCGACCTATGAAGACGCAGTGGAGCTATTCTGGAGCCAGAGACAGTTCAAGAGAGTCATTCCACTGTCGGCAAGCA